ACTGTTTGACTTCATGTTTTTTAATGAGATCTGTCACTTTTTGTATTTGGCTTGTTCCTTAAATCTGTATCAATCATGAAATGGTATTGTGCTACAGAAAAGCATCTTCTGCTTAGTAAAACAAATTACTTTGATTAAGGAATCTGAGTGGCAGAAATATACACCCTTCTGGTAAACAGTTCTTTTTTTTTTTTTCCCTATTGGTACAGTAGCATTCATTTAGGAAATTGCACAAAGCCTTTAGAGAGATTTAATAAAGCTATTGATTGCATTATGCAGTACTAGAAAAGGGTGAAAAACATACTTATGGCATGACTTAAATAAACTGATACTAGTCCATGCTTCCTCTTAACTTGTTGAATTTGTTGTCAAAAAAGTGGAAATCCTGAGAGCAAGATACCTGCGCCAATATCCTGAAGAAATGAATGAAAATAGCATTGTGAGAGGCACATAGATAAATTAAAATTATTTTTGTAGTGTCATTTTTTGTAATAAAAGTAGGGATTATAAGGAAAAAACCATGGGGTTCATGGAGTGAACAGTTTATCCCTGCATGCCTTCTGGGTTTATTAAGGAAAATGTATGTGTAAAGATGCTTGACAGAAAATTCTTGTCTCTCACTCTGTTCTCATTTACAACTTGCAGTGTTTCATGGGTCTCTGATATTTATTTGGGAGACTTCTCCTGTACGCTAACAGAAAAAGTGCAGAAATAATTCATACATCTAGTTTTTTTTCCCCTTAGTGCTTTTTAACTTTCACCATGAGTACTAGAAATTTAATACTGTCATATGTTCTGGAATATCTAGCCCTTGGTTACATTACAACCAGCAGCTAAAACAAATGAGATTGCAGTGCATAATGTTGGTAAATGTGGATGTCTGTTGGTGTTTATTCATGCACTCATATTTATATGTATAGTGAGGATGTGTGCATGTGTGCAATATCCTTGTCCAGCTTCAATTGGAGGTGGTTAAATGTGGTGGAATCACCGTGATGAAGAAGCTGCTTTGATGTTTGCAAGAGAGTAGGATGGTAAAGGGGGGGAAAAGGCCCCGTAGATTCATGGCACTCTGCATGAGAGAGCTGGATCTTTTTGCATTTAACCCTTTTCTGTTTTAACCTTGCTGTCATTTAATGTAAGAGTGATGTTCCCAGTTTGTGCTTTGGGGAATATAATGTTTTTTAACAGAACCTAGAATATACCACACTGAGTGGCAAAGATTGAAAAACAGTATCATTTGTGAAAATTGCACAGACACTAAGTTCATAGATAAAAAAACCCCATCAAATGTGTATTTTCTTTGTGGCCAACTTAGGTGTGAAATTGCTAATTTCTGTTTTGCCGTATGATGATAATTTGCTGATAATGTCAGAGGATTATATTTTGATGTAAACTCACCTAGTTATGATGCTTTAATTAAATGTTTGGAAATAAAACAAGCTATTGAGCTATGTACAATTTTTGTAACTTAATTTATTTTTCATGAAAGTCACACAGAAATAGATTTTTAAAAATCGATTAAATCTATTAATCTAATCCAAATGCTGTCTGTTCTTCTATTAAAGTAATTGTACCAGTATAGCATGTTAGTGTGAAGCTCCAACACATTTTTGTCTTCTGATTTTATTTTAGATGTATAATTTTTACTTGTCGGTAATGAATTTAGTCTCTGTGAAGGCCAGGAGGTAGAAACCCTTTATAATTCCAGCACTACATGGGACTCTGCACTGTTGTATCAGGAAATCTCAAGTAACAGTTTTATGACGCATGAGGATATTATTCTCTGCAAGCAATAACACACATTTCTATTTCCCCAGCAATATCCACATAATCAAACATTCACAAGTGCTTTACAAAGAATTTAATTAAATAGTGTGCAGAGTGACTGGATGCAGCATGTACACAAGCTGTTGGATATTCAGTAGTTCCCATTTTGCACTTAGTGCGGAACACTTTCGTGCAGTAATACATGTGAATGATACTTCCATCAAAATGTGCATTCTCACTCCTCCCTTTGTACCTTACTCCTTAAAAATGACACTGAAACCTTAACAGATGTCACCTCCAGAATCACAGGATACCTTGCTCAGGGCTCTAATGGTGTGATAAACAGGGAAATACAAATTCTCATGTTGAGACTTGAACATCACACATTGTTCCTCTGAAATCAAGCATTTATTACTCCCCAGAGAAAGATACAGATTATTGTGTCTTTTACCACAAAACTAGACGTGTTTGGAATTTTATTTAAAGGTAGTAGAAATTTTTGAAGCTATCAAAGACCTGCCACTGAAAAATTAACATTGAGACTTGGATATTCAGAATTTAGATGTAGACAATAAGAAGCAAAAAATTTTGTGATGATGAGTATTTTCAGAGACCATTCTGTCAGTCAGTGGAGATTAAGAAAGTCTCTTTGGCATTAAAGTGTAGTGTATCAGTCCCTGTACGAAGAAATGGTAGTGTGCTCATATTCAGTCAACATTATTGGTGTGCTCATGTCACCTGCAGGGATTACCATTCTGGAAACTGACAGGGTTATCTAATATGTTTTGTTTTCTCTCTTCAGAAAAGCCCTTTCAGCAGTAGCCGGTGCGTGAAAGGACTTTTCAGGCTTGCAGAGAAATGGGGCTGTGTTGGATGAAAGTGATTTAAAATATCCCTCTGTGGCTGTCTTCCTGCAAGGCAGTTATCTGTCCATCAGATTGGAAGGTTTTGTTGGTGTGTCAGTGCTGTAAAGTATCAGTCCCAACCAGAAAAGCAATAACAATGACACAAATAGTGAAAGACAGTCTGTAATTAGCCTATAAATGTGTTTAGTGTGAGACCTCACCCTTGTTTCCCAGTTCCACAAGAGTTATTCCAGTTTATTACTGGATGACACTGACAAAATCTATCCATTTTGGCTGGAAAGAAAGACCAAAAACTAGAAATGAACCCAAAGGAGAATAAAGAGATGAAAGGACCAGTGGAAAATAGGGACCTGGTTTTCCTTTTGTGCTTGTTCTCTTCTGTGTTTGAAGAGAAGTGCTGGAAACTTAATTGGGGTAAATAAGAACAGTATTCATCTTTTGAAGACACCTTTGGAGGCAAGTTTAATTGGTGTAAGAGAAGTTATGGCTTTCTTTAGAGAGTTGAGAAGGGGAGAGATGCCTATTTAATGTTAATGAAAACTTGCTATTAACTTCAGTTATTCCACCTGGTAATGTTTGTGTCTTTTTTTTTTTTTTTTCCCCATTCCTAGTCCTTCTTTGTATAGCAGACAGGAGCTTTTCATTTTGCATGTAATTTATAAAAAATTGCAGTTATTCTAAAAAAATCATACAGTTCAAGCTTCAGCTGAAGAGGAAAAGGAAAGCATGTAGTTCTGAATTTACTCACGTGCCTAATCTTGAACACCATGTTTTGGATTTTTCCTTATTTTCTTTAATTAGGCTCGTGTTCTAGTGTTTGCTCTTCTATAAAATATTTATTCTTTAGCATTTGAAGCGTGTCTCTGTGATTTGGATGTTTTCTGTGTGTATTTGGAAGTAGCTGCTAGACTTGCCTTGAATTCACTAGGAGGCTGGTATTTTTATGCTTCTTGAAGCAGGCCCTTTTTAGGAAAGCCAGAATATACCCAAATTCTCATTTCCCAGTATTTCAGTGGCAAGCTCCTTTGAATCTTGGAGCAGGGCTGATACAGTCTGTTTGTTCTCCAAGCCAATTCCAGCACGTGCATTGGCAAGCCAAAACAGACAAACCTAGGGGAAGTGTCAGTGCTGTAATACAATTTATAGTATTGTTTAGAATAATTAGGTCAGAATTTCTCTTTTTCATGTTAGGAAGTCCCCCAGTGAAGGACCACCTAGACAGACTTGTGATAACTGCCAATGAACTGTCTTTGGAAGCAGAAGTACTAGAGGCAAATGAGAGAGGAGTGTGGCAGCCAGGCTAATTAATTGAGAAGTCCGGCTAATTAGTTTGACTGGAGGGAGCACCATGCTGATGTCACACTGTAGATTCCAAAATGCTGTCTGATTTGTACACAGGTTGTACTGGGTTTCAAATAGACAAACAAGTTGTTTTTGGGCTCTTTCAGAAGTTTTTTCCTTGAAGCAGAATTGTGTGTTGGTTCGTTTATGAACCTATATTGAACCTATGGAAATTTACTGTAATTTTAGATTTCTTTCCAGACTGGTAGTCAATTTAGTGCCTTTTCATTCTTCTGCAGTAAAATTTGTCTAAGACATGTATTGTAGTATTGAGTTGTTCAACCTTATGCCACTGGGAGAAATTCCTTGGTGCTTTTTTTTTACTCGATGAAGGACCGTTCCATCTTGTTCCTAATATTTTCTCACTTAATAAATACAAAACTGAAGTAAAGTTCCTTAAGTTGCATATGGTTCCGTTGTTCCAGCTGGCAGGGCTGAGAGGTAGCTGTCAGCAGTCTTGCTCCCAGAGGATGCATGCTAGCAACAGTGCACCCTGGAAGATGCCTTCTTCAGTAAGAACTGGGGATTCTGAACCATTTGCCATTTTTCTTGATGTTATGAAACAATATTTCTTCAGAGCAACCCTAAATGTCAGTCATTACATACAGTTTGATGTGTAAGATGTTAATAAAGGAGCTGCTTTAATGAAAAGATAAAAAAAACTTGTAAAGAGTATGTGTTACTGTGCTGATATGGTATAGTAAACATTTGAAGCAGTATCAAACTCAGAAGTAAATCAACAAGGTGTTGTAAATAAGCTGGATTCTGTATAGAAAGCTTCATTAGAAATACTAAGTACTGTATTACATCAATAACATTGTTATAATTTGTGAACAGGTAGTGGCATAAGATAAAAATGAATATTTTGTTAATGTTTCCTAAGAAATATTACTAGAGAGCTCTTCTTTTTCCCCATGTATGTTATTTAAAATGCTTTTAGTGATGGTTTATGCTCCTTCTTACAATAGCTCTTCAGCATAGTAGCTCCCACAAGGAGTTAACATATATCTTTTCTATTTCTAGATCTGTTGGCTGTGCCTAAGCATCCATATGCTGCTATGGAAAACTGGGGACTGAGTGTTTTTGTGGAGCAAAGGATACTGCTAGATCCAAGCATTTCTTCTATTTTATACCTACTGGATGTCACCATGGTCATTGTACATGAGCTATGTCATCAGGTATTAAAGGTGTTCACGTGTTAGATCTCAATGTCAGAAACCATGTGCTCCTTTTCAGAACTGAAAATGAATTTGTATTGTATGTATGGATGGTTGTGATTTCTGTTGTAGCTGGAATCCATGTAACATGGTAGACTGTAAGACATACCTCTCCACTACAGAAACTGTGAAGACTCAAAATGGGGATAGAAGAGAAAATTTGTAGCAATGAACAGGTTCCCTATCTTCTGTAGCAGTATATTCTGTGTGTGTTTGTCTGTCAGTGTATTTGTTACTGGTATGTAGAATAAACTTGTTGATAGCAGATTCATGCTAAGTTTCATGTTCGTATCAAAAAATGTTTTGGCTGAAGTCAGTTTGGTAGTAGTCTTTGTTTTCTGTCATATATACACATATCCATTTTCTTTTTCTTCTCAGTTTTTTTCCCAGTTTGGTATTGACCCTCTCTGTTCACCAGTGGTGGATAAGCAAGTCTTTATGTGTACAGAAACTATTGTGTCAATAAGAAAACTTAAAATAATAAACCCATATTACAATTTATTTTACGTTTTTCCCATCTTATCTCAAGCTAAACACATTACAAGTGTTAGTAATATTGAATTGAATGCAAATGTTATTGAAGAAATTTGCTACAGGGGCAGGAAACGCTTTCTTACACTCATAAGAGGCATAATCATAGCCTTCAGGTTAAAATGAATGGAATCCTACTGTGTAATCACCATGGCTTACATCTGTGAATTTACACAGTATTCTTTAAAGGCAATGCAAATTCTTAACACTTTCTGCTAATAAAAAGTACCATGTAAAAGGAATCCATTGAAATGGTGTTTTGGGAGATGAACCTGAAAATAATGTTTAGTTCATGTTTGTATTTCACATTAAGTTGGTTGATGAATATGAAGTCCTCAACTAAAATATGAAATTTTTATTGAAAGTTACTGCTGGTTTGATCTTGATGCTATCATCTGATTTTGCTCTAAGCTCTTCACTGTGCAGTGCAATAGAATAGTACACAGTTCAGCTAGAAAAATTACAGTGCCTTAGGAATCATGTGTGGAAAACATACATTAGGTCATCAAGTCCCAGCTCCTGTGAGTATTAGATTTTTCCACGTGATGTGTTCGTAGTGTTGGGTTCTGTGCTCCTGATTACAGGGTTATATGGCTTCCCTTAAAACCTTTTGATTAAATCTGACAGTAAGTAACTTTTTCCAAGTGTTCAGCTTAAGTCTTGGTTTTTCTGAAGTCGTTTCATTACTTTCAGTTATTCTTTGCATTGCTTTGAAGCAATTTGCACTTCAGAAATGGGCAAATACCATATCAGCAACTGGCCAAGTTTGTTTGTTTGAGTCTTATAGACACTGAAGCCTTTTTTCATTATTCTGGGAATTTTAGAGGATCATGAAGTGGGCAAAAACTATAGCTTAATTTATTTTAAGGTAGAAATATGATCATAAAGTGCATTTAAGTGACCTTAAAATTGCAGATGAGGAGGTTTACTTGATGTCCATGTTGATGTTGCTTCTAGTGATGTTTACTTAATTAAAAGTAACTTCCCCTATTCCTGTTGCTGCTGTTTCTATTTCAGTACCGTGTAGATTAGGTATTTGCTCAGCTACTTCACTGGATAGCTAGACAAGGTATAAAAAATTGAAGTTAAAGAAGCATTTTTTCTACTTTTTGGGTGCAGAATTGAATCATACAGATTATGGATTATTCACCTGCAAGTAAAGTTTAAAGGGAGAAACACTCAAAAAATATAACATAAAAACCACTGTCTAGCATCTCCATCACATTGTGTTTATTTAGCCCTTTTTTCTGTCTTTATCTTACCGTACTCAGAAGCCCCTCAAGGAGCTCTAAACAATACTATCTTAGCTGAAAATGAACTGAACCAAGACCAGGTTGGGTGCAGGATCTCTTGCCTCTGTTTTTTAATTGTTATTTATTCACTGCATTTTTCATTGTCTTTGGCTGTGCATATCACCTGTTAGCCTGTGTGACACATGAATATTCTTCCCCTTCACTCATTTTTACACATAGAATAACAAAAATTAACCAAATTCTCTCTGGTGCAAGCAAAACTGGAATCCATATTTTTATTTATCGGGGTTTTTTTTAGATTTTAGGGAAAGGGAAATGAAACTGTTCCAAAATGTGTGTGGATTGGTGGTGTTTTTTTTGGTTTTTTTTTTTTTTTTTTTAAGAATTGTGTCATTGTTCAGTTTCCCTGACTTTAAAGCCATGACTTCAAGATTTATGGAACATATCTGAGCATGTAGTAAACTGATGTGTATGAGAGCCCTGTTACTTAGAGTAACACAGCAATTTCTTTGCTAATGTTTCCAAGATTAGAGAGATCAGATTAGTATTAAAAATCCAGATTGTTGCCTTTAGATTTGACTTTTTAAAAATTGTACTTACCAAACTTGCTCTATATCAATGCTTGAACACAGTGCTCAGGACAGATAGAAATGAGAGACAGTGCTGCAAAAGGAAAAATTCAGTGGTTGCTAAAATACAAGTAAAAAGTATGTAAGAATGGATTTCATGACCAATTTCTTCACAGATGAGTTTTCATGTTTGAGGTATTTTAGGTACATGTTTTGGGAGAGATGCATTAAAGTTACTTCAGTAGTTTTGGTTCAGTAATTTTGTAGGGTGCTATTTTTTGATATTTCAGTTTGAGTGTGCTTTCAGAATATTTGTTTATTTAATTTAAAAAAAAAATTGATCATATGAGTGTTTTGGCATAAAATCTTGTCCTCTGAGCTCCACAACATGAGTTGGTCAAAACACATGTATTTCTACCAACTTAATTTGATAGCTCGAAATAATTAACATAATTTATTAAAATAATTATTTTAAGGTAGTGATTCTTTTAAGGTGGTAATTTGCATATCACAGATCAGTTCCACCTATAGCCTTTGAAGAAAGAGTCATTTGAATTTATGCATCATGATTTTTTGTGATAGATTTCCCACCAGAGCACAAAACTTGGTGTGACAGATTGAGTTACAGAAGCATGAAAGCAGAAAGAAAATGAAAAACTTCTAAATCAACATTTTGTTCATAATCTGTAAAGAAAACATATAGAAAAGAGTGTCCTTTCAATGTATCTGTAAGTACTTTCTGCTTATCAGGTTGAACATAATACCTGAGGGAGAAGAGAAATTTATGTGATCAGTACATTTCAAAATGAAGTGATGGTCTTCACTCCAGGCAGATAGAGCCTATAGTCAAATACAAATACAAAAATAATAAATAAATAAATAATTACTTAAAGAAATTAAATGCTTTAATTACAGTTTTCCTTTGAGACTTGTAACACCTAGGAAGATAATAGCACCTTTCTGCTGGAAAATTTGGCTTTCTTGCTTACAGCCTCTGGGTACTGCTCTGTCTCTGACAACTATAAGTCTCTCTGATACTGTTCAAAAGTAGTTAAGCAAATTCCCTACATTGTCATATTGATATCCCATACTGGTTTAAAGCCTTTAAAACATTTCTTCCTTTAGGTGGATAATTAAACGAATAATTTTAATTGTATCGTTAACAAATGAACCCAGAAAACTTACAAAGGAGTAGAACAAATTCTCTTTTGTAGCACCATAAATTAGTGTTATTAATTCAAATTATAAGATGAGGTATTACGAACATTACAACCTTTATTTTTTAAAAATCTCTCTGGCTAGTCATAGTTCAAAATGTTGTACCGCTGGTTTCGTATTTGTTCAGTAGTACTCCTGTAATTCAGGACATAAACTCTATGCTGTTATGTTTACTCATTAGAAATCATTTAAGCAACCTACTCTAGTATGAATTTAACTTCCATACTTCTTGGTATGAAAGTTATATTCATTTTATTGATTTAAATTCTGAAAATGCATAAGCTATATGAATATATTTCTAGCATTTCTTTGTCTTTTCAGTTAAATGTTCTTAAGATCAGGATCTCTGTTTAGTGGCCTTGTAGAGAGTTAATTTATTGTAGAGAGTTAATTTATATTATTAATTTATGTATATATAGTATATTATGCATACTGAATGTGCATTAAGTTTAGCTTCACATAGTATATGAATATGACTTCTAGCAACCTCATCTTTTCTCTCTAAATTCTTAAGGTGCTCTTCAGTGACATTCATCGCCATGTTTTTCTTCATTGTTTTAATTTGAATTCTGTTTGCTGAACCTTATGTGGCTGTCTGGTAATCTTCCAGCTAGTCTGGTCGTTGCTTGCTAGTCTGTTCTTTGAAGCTCTGGTGTTCACATCACTACGTATCCCCATTGAAGCATTGATCCTTCTGTGGTGTCATTCTCACTCCACAAAGACATGCACAGAAGTGACATCTTTCATTCAGGTCCTAGACAAAGCCTTCAAACAAGCCAGCTGTCATGAAATCAAACTGCTTATGGGCCATCTCTGCTTTCACTCATTCCTCACTCATTACAGTTCAGCATCAGTTCCTCTGCTCTGACCTGTGTCTTTCCGTCTAGAATACTTGCTGCTCCCTCTCTGTATTTTTAGAGCTTGCTTACACATGAAAGCTCCAAATTATCTCTGTTGATTATAACTATTTTTTATAAATATGAAGAGAAAACTGGAAGATAATGTTACTTAAGCAAAGTTTTGGTATTTTTTTGGCAGAAAAGATGCTACAGAGAGTATGAAATAGGTTTTCATAATACTGTCGATGTTTCTGTTCTTACCACTGGTATAACATTATTCAGGTTACACATTACAAGCATTTAAATCATTTAAATAATCATTTAAACGGGGTCATCCATCAGCAGATGAATATATGACATCTGGTTTCCTATGAATTCCAGTCCTCATCTGTCTTCCAATGATCATCCCAGCTCTGTGTAAAATCCCTCTGACACCTGCATGTCCTTACTACGAGATTTGTGTCTGTTGAGGTATACTCTGTGAGCGGAGTATGTAATGGTTGTGTTCTTGCCTTGCCCTCAGCTCAGACCCTTCTCCTCTTTTCAGATGATGATCTTTATTTACTTGTGGAGTTTATGGAGTTTAGTTGTCCTTGAGATTTCTGTCCTTAATAAATTAGATTGAAGTCAGTGGGGATGTTGAAGAATCATCTGGAGGAAATGGGAAAGGCAGGCAGCTCAAGTAGGGTTCCTTTGACTATACACAGGTGGGCTTGTGCCGTTTCAGATACCTCTGCTTTTGGTTGCTGCATCTGTCCATGGATGAAATTTCCTGGGCCTTTGTGGGGGTCTCACATACCCTAATATCTTCTCTAAATGGCACCAATTTCCTGCTTTTAACCTTCTGAGTCCTACCCGTAGAGAGCTGGCATTGTTGTGTAAAGCTGCTTTCTTTAAGAAACCTGCCAAGGAGAGGAGCATTAGTAGTATTGTAGATCTTAGTGGGCAGAGAGTGGGGAGAAAGAAATGCTAAAATTTAGATCTGGGGTGGAGAATGTGTTCCCATTCTCATAGATATGTTTTTCGTTATTCACACTATGCATCATGAAATTTCCATGTAATGGATCAGATTACTTGAATTAGAAGCCTTTTTCTGTCCAGTATGTTTGTTAGTCTGTTAAACCTAGGTGAGCATCACCTTCAGAGAACTGAAGTTGACGATGTGAATGCTGTCCTCAATGCTTGTTTTGCTCTGCTTCTTATTTTCTAATGTTTTATTTCATTAACTTGTGCATTCTGTAATGTTGAATTAATTAGCAAAAATTAGGAAAAATACAGTTAGTGAATTTCAGTGCATGGTAAATACTACTGTTGTTATTAATACAAGTGGAGAATGTGTTTGTCTAGGTGAAATGTACACAAACATAGTTTCCTAAAGGTTGTTAAAGTTGTTGATATGAACTTTTTGTTTTTCCAGTGGTTTGGTGACCTTGTGACTCCAGTTTGGTGGGAGGATGTGTGGTTGAAAGAAGGTTTTGCTCACTATTTTGAGTTTATTGGGACAGACTACCTTTACCCAGGGTGGAACATGGTAAGTCAGTTCTATTTGGTTAATGTGGAGACTCCACAGAAAAGTTGCTCTGCTGCTAGAATCTTGCTTCTGTTATAGACAGAGACTGCTGAAAAATACCAAATGATGCATGCAAGTATCAGACATCGAATGAAGCAAAATCACTAGGTGTGAAATAATTTGACAGCAGTGCAAAAGTGTAATCTGCAATTTATTGCAAAAGAAATAATGTCATGTCTATCGTAACCCAGCATTAAAATAGCTACTGTCTCTCTGCTTAGAAATATGTTTGATTAAAGCACTTAAGATTTAACATGGACTATTTTTTAAAACATTGAGAATGTTGAATTTTATGCACAAGATAAATTGGAAAGAAATGTTTGGCTCAAACATTCTATAAAACTAAGCATATCTTTTTCTTACAGTTCTCCTCTCCCTAAATATATTCTTTTTATCTTCCTGTTATTGTTTGGATATATAGAGTAAATGCTAAATTAACATGGGCTACATAATTTGAGAATTTATGTTTTGGTATGGTTTCTAGCCATACACAGTGGAACATGCTTTTTCAACCAGTGTTCAAATACTGGAGCTCTCTGAGAAAACTGGGAATTCCATGCTGGGACATTATTTTGGAGTCCTTCTGTTATATATATATATATTGTACCTAGACAGATCCCAATTTATATGAATTGCTGTAGTCTAGCTATATTATATTTATAAGAAAAATAAGAGAGATGAGACCTCAGTACAAGAAAATCATGTATGAGACCATGTTGAAAGTTCCTATAGAGATTTTATTGTCCTTTGGAGGCATGCTTATGTTTGCTAACGGTTTGTGCTTATATATGTTTGATTATGTGGCAAAATATTTATTATAGATCATGATTGTGTGACAGAGATTTGTTGGGGCTTGGATGTTTTGCTTAAGCTCTTAAAAACTAACGTCTGAATTTTTTTTTCCATTTCTATGAGCTTTCTTGAGTATACTTATCCCATTAACTTTTGGCACTGTAAAATGAAGATGCTATAATTATGAGTTAAAGATAATTTTTAAAAAATAATTGTATACAGGTTACTCTTGAGTTAGTTATGCTTCTTGTGAAATTTGAATTCTTTGTAGTATTTTAATTTTTTATTTCAGGTGTCAATTTTGGTTTATAATTGCATTATGAAAAGGAAAACAAACCTTTATTTGAACTAACAACTGTCTTGCATAGGTAGGCTTGTTGGGTTTCCCTGGGTTTGACTATATTACAACTCATTCTATTCATCTTTATAAAGAATACAACCTGAATTACAATGTAATGATTCTAATTATGAATGCAATGAAATCTGGCAGGCCTTTGTGATTTTAGCATAGTGAAGTGTCATAGATGACAACATTTATACACTGAATTTTATCTTCAAATCATCAGTCATTTGTTCTTCACATAATCAGTCTAACAAATTCAGAATAACTATGCTTAAGAAGTCATTTGGAATATGGTATATTTGCTTCAAATTTCTGTGGAATGAATATAATGTTCACTGTTATGCAAATAGCATGCCCACCATGTGAAATCTTGGAATTTTAGCAGAATACAAGCAAGAAGAGTGGATTGAGCAGGGGATGGCAGTTAAACTGGGAAATCAGAAATGTGCTGCATAGGTTAGAATTAACTACAGTAATATTGATGTGCCTGACAAAGTATTAATCTGTCAAGTTTTTCTTAAATTAAAAAAAAGAGACATATATTGTTCATAAGACTTTGGATATCTGTGGCCTTTGATATAAAAATGATCATATTGACATATTTAAATGATGACAAAATGAGATGAAACTCATAATGGCTTAAACATACTTCATTCTTTTGCAGACTACTAGAGTAGGAATCAATACTGTCTTGTTTCGGCATGTTGATTACATAGATTGTAGGAAGAGGAAGCAAAAGTTACAGTTACTGAAATTTGGCTTGCTGAAAATTTTGTTATTGTTAAAAAGTGCATTTGCTGTTTAAACATATTGACTGATATTTGTAAACTTGAAAAACTTAAAGTGATCATGTAGAAAAAGAGAAACTGTTCCAAGCAACTTACTGTTTTTCAGAAGAGAAGGATGAAGTACAAGTTGCAAAAACAAGAACTACAAACCTTATTTTCTGTCATGATGGCCAAACAGTGCAATATTCCTGCATTCTGTTTGGTGTTTTGTCAGTAGTAATTAATACCTGTGAATTATAAATTAAAAAAAAAAAGAATTATGTATGTTACCACATCTCTTTGTGTCAGGAAAATAGTGATAAACTAAAATCCTCTTGATTGCTAAAGAATTGGGAAGGTTAGATAGCTAACTTCTTTCCCTCATAGTTCTGAAATGAAACCTTGAAGGTTTGCTCAAGACACCCATGGATTAAAATGTTAAAATCAGCTTATTTTTAGCGTACTAAAGACTTTCTGTCACATTCTTTTTTGGATAAATGTAGAAGCAGAAGACTGGTAGTCCATTCCAGAAAAAGGACTTTTATCTGGAAATGCGACTTGGGCAATGGATACGTCTGAAAAAAATGGGATCTATCCACAGCTTCCTTTCTAAGTTTTTGATATTTATAGGATACAGGCACATAAGCTTTCACCATTAAGGCTTATAAACCACTAAAGTTTTGATACTACTAGTCTGAAGATGCTTCTCTTTTAGCAGAGCTGAGCATTTTTCAGTGTCCATCTTATCTGGCATTCATAGCCTTGGTATGGCTGAACCTGAGACTCTTGAGAAGAGCTGTTCACACCAATATTACTTAAAACAAAAGCACCAAGTTCTGCACAAAACTGAAACACGTTTCTTGGCTTTTCCTTCTTCTCTAGGTTCTTTAGCTTTCTTAAATATTTCTTCCCCCTGCCATTTTTAATTTTATCAGTTTTTCTTTAATTGTCTCATAGACTCTTTTATGGTAGGAAAGATGAATGGGTAACTGTGCCAACTACCATGGAGCTGCAACACTTTATTGAGCATTCCAACATGTCTGGAATTTCTTGTGTTGTCTAGAAGGTGTTTACTGCCATACTTCATCATGCTTGCATAATCTTAACGAGAAAGGAAATCCAGTCCGTATTAAACCCTTGCTATCCTTATGTCCTGGATCCTCTAGCTGAGGTCACGTGCTCTGTTCAGCCTGGAGGAGAGCAGAATGATGGAGGATTCCATGGCAATCTGCAACTTCCTCATGAGGGGAAGAAGAGGGGCAGGCACTGATCTGTGATGCCCAGTGACCTGAGGGACTGGCCTGAAGTTGTGTTAGGGGAGGTTGAGGTTAGCTATTAGGAAAAGGTCCTTCATACAGAGGGTGGTTGGGCACTGGAACAGGCTCCGAGGGAAGTGCTCACAGCACAAAGCCTGAGTTGAAGAAGTGTTTGGACAGTGCTCTTGGACACACAGTGTGACTCTTAGTGATGGTCCTGTCCAGAGCCAGGAGTTGGACTCAATGATCCTTGTGGATCCCTTCCAACTCAGATTATTCTGTGATTAAAATTTCGGGTGAATAAGAGAATGAAGAGGCATTCTGATGGAGGTGTTCGTTATTCATTGCAATTAATTGCAAAATACATCAGAACTTTCCCAAGGAAAGGAATGGAATTTTGCCAGTTTTAAAACAGGAAGATCCTCTTTATGTGCTGAGATTCTTAATGGTTATCCACTGTCTGAATATCCTTTTTCAAAGCTAAGTTGCTTCAGATTAAAGCTAGAATTTCTCATTCCCTTCTTTTAGCTAAAAAAAAGAAGTCCTTCCACGTTAGATTTTTACTTTGTGAAGGAGAAGCTTGTGTTTAATTTGCAGGAAAGCTCTCTCTGCTGTACAGAGATTAGACATTTGCCATGGAAGGGAATTCACCATTCTTCCCATTTCACCCTCTTGCCTTGCCTGTTCCCCAAATCAAGAGATTTTTGAAATTCTTATTCTGAAATGCCTCAAATTCTTACTGCTAGATCTCATTCTTAAGGGTCTGGGAAGTTTAAACAGTTGTTTTTGTATTGTCAGAATGATTTTAAAAAGAAAGCTGTCTTTGCAAAGTGTTCTTCTGAGATCAGAGAATTTTGCTTGATCATGTGTGCTCAGAATAGTCATCTGCATGTGAATTCCCTGGCTTAGAAAAAGATGAGATTTCTGTATTAGAGGCTTTCCATATGATTGTCTCTCCATGCCATCAAAAAGCAACAGCAGCTGGATGTATGTTCTTGAGCTGTAAGGTCTTATGTCCAATACAAGGTAATCTCATCTCTGTGGAAGGGGCCTGTGCTGGTTTTAGAATCAGAGGAAATTACAGTGGAAAACTCCATGCTGGTAATTTCCACTTCAGCGCTCTCTCTTTTCCCCTCTACCATGCTCACCTTCCTGCTTTCAGAGGCCTGTTTGCAGCCGTATATTCCATCTTCCTCTTGGCTTGTTTCTCTCATACCCTGAATTCCTTTGCATGTGGCTTTGTAAAGGAAGGAATTCAGCTGAGGCTTGCAGATCCAGGAATTTATTGGCTGATCGTTTCCCTCCATATTTTCTGGTAGAAGGAACCATCATGTTTGTCCTTGAATGTCTCTGGTACGGGGTAGATTTTGACGACTATGACAGCAGGAATTACTGGCATGTAATTTGCCCTTACATCCATCAAATGAGCATCAAATACTTTAGCAGTCAGTACCTGGCTTGGTGCTGAGAAAGCATTTCACAGAGCCCAGCTGCCTTCTCCCTTTTCTTTATTATAAAAAGTTAGCTTTGCTGACAACTTCACTGGCTGAGTCAAGGTGTAGCACACCAGCAATAGCTTTGAATCCTATGTCTTCTTGATCCATTAATGCCTTGGTAGAGGATTTCCTACTTTATTATTTGCTTACTACTTTTATAATTAAGGATGGTCATGTCTGCCAGAATTTTTCTTAAAAATGAATTTTTAAATTAATTTTTCTTATTAAATTGAAAACTTTGTACCTGTATAGAAGGGTATCTTTCCTCCTTCCTTAAGTGAGCCGTGCTTCCTTTATAGTATTAGGT